GTTTTTTCATATATCCTTGGATTCATCCCCACGCAACTAACTTCAATTAAATAAAAATTATATTAAACCACTTGTTTCATTTTTAAGTTTGTTGGTTGTGATGATTTCTTGCAAGCTGTAGTTTTTGATTGATTGAGTTTGTCTTTTTCGTCAATTTTACTAAAAGTTATTGGACCAATCAGTGCTTAACTGGAATTAATATTCCTATAGTCTGCGTGCAGTTGATGAGTCACATTGTTTAGAATTTCTTTTGTGATGCATCTAATGAAAGTTTGATAGAAAAAATGGGTCCATTGTTTAGAAAATTGATGAATCACAGAGGATAAATTGTTGAATTGAACAGAACAATATATGCAGACCTCCAATATTTTCCTTGCCTTGGTGCAAACTACTCATATAGTTCAGACATAATGAGAGGGAGTAAATACGCGTTGTACTCTTTTTTCGTTGACCAAGGTATTGTCCCATTAGGTTTTTCTGACAAGATTTTTAATGAGGCAACTTTTGTAGTGTATTTAAAAAAATAATGTACTCTTTTTTCTTCATTAAGATTTTTCCCAATAAGGTTTTAATAAGGCATATTCTTTGTGTAATGAGGTTCTTAACCTACAAGGCATTTATCCTCAAAAAGGCATACTCTTATATGTATGAGACTCTCGAAGAGATCAACAAGAGCTATTTTTGAATTATCGTATTACTACAATTATTAAATAATGATAAATATCTCGTATGAATACAGTATTATTTGAAGACTATGCAAGACAACATAAACATATTTCACCAAAACTTGTAATATTGAAGGCATTGATGTACAAGAATGGATAGCTTGATACAAGAATTGAAATTAAGAGTAGTAGTTGTACTCTTTTTCCTTCGATCAAGTTTTGTCCCACTGAAGTTTTCTTGACAAGGTTTTTTAACGAATCAATATTTTATTACTCCAAATTATTTGTATTATTTTTTCATTTGTTGACATTTTTGTCCCATTGAGTTTTTTTGCCAAACAAAATTTCAATGAGATAGTTATTATGCAAATAATCGTCAACGGGGAAGTGTTGTATAATATTGAGATAATTATTGTTGATTGTTTAGTACTCTCATGATATATAGAATAACCTTATCTAGTTTAGAAAATCAATTTCATTCCAATTATAAATCTTATTTTAGACTCTATAAATATAGGGTATTCATTATTAATAATATATACTTGAATTTTGACTCATAATTCTCTCCTCTTTTTCTCTCTTTTAAAACATTTTAAATTTTTTTAGTTTTAGCTCATTAATTTAATGCCTTTAGAAAAATAAAATAATGCATACCAAAGAGCTAAAACTATAAATATTTTAATTACTTAATTTCTACAACTGGACAATTCTCAAGTTTTCAAAAATTAGGCAATTTCGAATAATGACTGACTGGACTTGGCGTAGGCAGGCCCGTCCGCAGCTTGTTTGTAAGTTTATAACGACTACATTGAGTATGTCAGTTTATTATACTTAGGGAACTCTTCCATAAGTCGATTTTAAGAGTGACTTAACAATGTGAGATATAATTAGAGTAATTACATTAGCCAAAAACTAGACGGCTGAGCTGGCACGGGTCTTTAATGGGCCAGCCTGCACATAGACAATCCGGCCCAGTTTAACACCAGTAATGACCAACTTCAGGTCCTTCCATGATTGAATTTATCAATTGTCAAAACTCGGAAGTATTACACAATAGTTTCTTCCCCATTTCTTGTGTATACAAAATTAGCACCATCTATATTTGAAAATTCTGGTGCAGAAAATGGAGAGAAGTCTTATGGATTCCGCTCATTTTGAATCCTTCCCTGCACACTTCATTCCAAGTAGTTTGCCTTCAGCAATGGCCAAAAAATACTATTGAGACAGCAACTTCCAGCTTCTGTCAAAATCATCCAATCGCAAACTTTCAAGTTTACTTGCTTTTTGCTGTTCTCTGGGGCCGGTCAAAAATTGGATTCTCGAGTAGTTCTCTAGCAGAAGGTCGTCGAGTTGGATCAGGGTCCATCATGACCTAAT